GGTAAAAGAGTAGCCCAAGAGTTGGCGGTGCGTGGAGATGACTAGCTGCCTTCTCTCTAGTTTTACAGTGCTAAATTAGGGACGGCTAGCGCAGATACAAACCGAAACATGCTACTCCATCGCCATTTTTAGATCAGTTGCAGTTGTCACGTGACTTCTGAATATGCATATTTAAAATCGTTTTGATATAACTTGTTCAACCCTGTAAAAAACATAATGATATATAAAATGCTCTAAGATAGTTTAGTTTATGATGTGTGCGTGTTTATATTTCACAGGCATGTGTCGTCTGACTAGAGCGTGTAGCTAATGGCATAAACTACGTTCTAGGAATAAAATTTAAAACAAATATACTCCTATCTACAATTCTCGCTCTTTATGGGTACTATCAAAGCCAGCCAACCAAGTGTAAATATTCTTGACTAATACAAAATACCCAAACGATGAACCCCAAATCTAGATGGAATTAAAGTATAATGATGAAGAAAAAGAAGATATTCATATCAACAATGCTATAGAATGGTTTACTTTATGATTATATTTTCGTATTAGAGGTGGAATGCCTTGTCGTAAAGGTGTACAGTCAGATGCGGTTGTAATCTGTTCTAAGTGTAAATCAAAGTTATATAAATTAAGAATGAGATCATTAAGAATATATTATGTTAATCACACATATTAATATAAATAATGTGGTATCATGCTTCAGGTTGATGTTTTGTTTTTCGCACTATAGTGTAAATTTTATGCCAATTTGCTCAACAGTGTAAAGGACTTTTTTAACGCAATGAACAGTGTCAGTTACATTTACTTATTTTAATGATATAGATGGGGCTGTTCACGGACTTGAATTGAAGACCTTATGTATGATATACCTCATTAATTTAATTCTATCCTTTAGATCCAGAAACTTGTCGTATTGTAGTGCGTTGTTTTCAGCGAACTTTTAATATCGGAACCGAGTTAGTTTTTCCCTAATATATATTCGTATTGTAAAAACATACGTGCATATGAAAATTATCGAAATGATTTTAAGCACACATTAAACTTAATTTTTTTGTTTTCATGTTTATTCTTTCATTTTTCTTCATTTTAGTTCGTACGAAAATAAATATTTAAAAGTTGACATTAAACATTGCGGTAAGAAAATGGCTGAACTATTAGAAGATGGCGTTTGACTTAGAGATTGTTATCTTAAATAATTTATTCACATTAACTAACTTGTTTAGATGGAAATTTTGCAATAAAATTTTAACAAATCGTCTTTAAGTACAGTGCTTTTACACTTAGCACCTTAGGTAAGATGAAAGGTTGGATAAATTTTGCTCTTGACAATTTGGTAGTTAAATTTTTCGACATTCACTTTTATGTTCAATTTTCAGTAGCTAAGTTAAGCCTAACTCTGTGAAAATCTTATTCGTAAGCCTAATATTAATACTAATTAAGTATTTATTTAGTAAATGAACTTATTAAATTAAAATTTTGAACTGGTGTTTTATACTTAGTTAAAGTAATTAAACAAAGCTTTACAGCGTCATCTAAAATTTCACTGTCACAATTATTATTTTATGGCTACAAAATTAGAACTTAGAAGTAGAGCTAGAACTAGAAGGGATAGTTGGCTATCCTTCACAAGTTGAGGAGTAAATCTTTATAGTTCCTGTTAATAAATGTAACTATTTGGTAAATCTTTACAGTTCCTGTTAATAAATGTAACTATTAGGTAAATCTTTATAGTTCCTGTTAATAAATGTAACTATTTGGTAAATCTTTACAGTTCCTGTTAATAAATGTAACTATTAGGTAAATCTTTACAGTTCCTGTTAATAAATGTAAGTATTTGGTAAATCTTTACAGTTCCTGTTAATAAATGTAACTATTAGGTAAATCTTTACAGTTCCTGTTAATAAATGTAACTATTAGGTAAATCTTTACAGTTACTGTTAATAAATGTAACTATCGGGTAAATCTTTACAGTTACTGTTAATAAATGTAACTATTAGGTAAATCTTTACAGTTCCTGTTAATAAATGTAACTATCAGGTAAATCTTTACAGTTACTGTTAATAAATGTAACTATTAGGTAAATCTTTACAGTTACTGTTAATAAATGTAACTATTTGGTAAATCTTTACAGTTCCTGTTAATAAATGTAACTATTTGGTAAATCTTTACAATTACTGTTAATAAATGTAACTATTTGGTAAATCTTTACAGTTCCTTTTGAAGATTGTATTGTAAACACTATTTTATGAAATCAGCATTTAAGTAACTCTGAGTTAGTTTTAAGCCTAGTAAATTGTTAGCCTTAATTCTTTAGGAACATTGTTTATTTGGAATGAGAATGTCTAACATGATCATATTTATATTTCATAGGGAAGCTCTTTTCTTTGAAAAGGTTTTCCAGAAGAACAAATACTCTTGACTTGTGCTGACATGTACCCAAATAGTCCTTGAGGTAGGTTGCTTTGTGAAATGTCAAAAACATGGTACATGTATTTATAGAATTATGGTGTATTTGATACAAGTTTACATTTATATTATTTATCATCTTTTGTACTGTACAGTCTTGTATACTAAGTGGGTATGCACCAATGAGAGATATTACCTTGTGTATAACTGGTGTGGAATTTCCTGTGCATGCCACAAGTCTTGAGCAAATTTCCACTTTTACATATGTCTATGTGTATTCTCATAATGTTGTAGCTCTCCATCAGTAGGAGAACAACGCAAGACATGGTTATAGGATCATTATATTTCCAGCGCTCTGTGTTCAGACGTGTTTTTTTCCTGTACTTTTTGAGCTAATGGTAAATGAACCACCATTAATTTCGAGCTGTGTAGACAGTATAATGATAGGTGGAGGGAGAAGAAGTCCTCACCTGTGTCACATGACAAATCCAAGTCCCATCCAGCTGGATGGATGTATCTACTAGGAACTGCTTGAAAGAAACTGTGATGAGGTGTCCTGTACTACACTAATACCCCAGCCCTACATCTCAAACATGGGGTGACACAACTGGTCTCTTACTTGGGAGGGGGGGGTCACAGAAGAAGCTTTCTATGTCAACATCCCTAGTGGCTTGGGACTAGGGAAGTAAGGTTTCTTATATTCTACACTATAAGAATGGTGGGGAAGAAGTATGCATCAGGGAGAACACCTGAGAATGTGCATGAACCACTGCTATCAAGTACAATAACCTGGAATTAGGTCTACTCCAAGAAACATTGCAATGTGTTACTACAGCTAAAAACAACGTGTGAACCAGGTATAACAGCAGGACTGCACCTGATGCTCTCTGTTGTTGTTTAGCCAAGTCAGTTCTATAGATATACTACCAAAACCCTCTCAACAGTGAGCACTAAACAGAGGAATGTTTGCCCGAAGAGGAAAGTCTTAGCATCAGTATGTTTTTTGTTTTTATTTATCTATGCATTCACTGTTGTAATTGGCACAAGAAAGAAATGTGGTGGTTAGACAAAAAGTAGCAGCAAATAGGTGGATGGAACCAAAGTGCAACAAAGACAACAAAAGTAACATAGCTCTAAATAAAGAAAGGCAATCAATCAAAGGAACTAGAAGCCACCAAATTTCTGGTGGACTACCCAAAATATTTTTCTGTGCTTATGAAAATCTAAATTTAACCCTTTCAAGACCAGTCACGGGTGAAAGTCCATGGCATCTTGTTTGGTGACTCGCATTCAAAATTTTATGGACCTACTATTTCATGAATTTATGTCAATAAGTTTGGTAACAAACTGTAGATTATAATTCAAATTTTAGTACTATATATTACTCAATTTTTTAATTTAAAAGCGTATATTAAAAAACAACAGATAAACATTGATTTTTGTGTGTCACCTGGTATGTTGAATGCAGCACTGGTTCACATTAGATGTTTGTGAAGTCAAAAT